CATCCGTGTGCCTTTGGGATGTTGTCTGCAGTCTGATGTCAGTGTGTGCGATATCATTGAGCTGATATTTCTCCTCTTTCACCGGCGCGGACGTGGACTGCTCACCGTACTGACAGATTCAGCGTCACGCTATGACAAACTATGTTCCTCCCTGGATTTTTGCTCTGTTTTCAAATATAACCTCGAAGAAACCTAGCGCTGCTTATGAAGCGTATCGACCCTTTCCTTATTCCTTCCCGCGTCCTTTTATGTCCGATGTCCGTTGTCCTTGCTCTCTACCCTACAAAGAGCTGTTTACGAGTGTGATCGGACTGAGCTGGGGCGGAGCAATGCAACCGTCACCGTCACAGCTCCATGCCGTGGGTACTGTGCCCACTACCACAGGCCCATGTAGCCAGAAGCTTTGTTGCCATGTGGCCCACCGGGCCGGGCCGGGTTAAGTGGCGGCCGGCGCGGCGTAGCGCGGTGGCAGGTTCGGTTACCGATGTTTGGGGTGGACGTAAACACAGGACGTGCGGTTGAAGTGATGACCGCGGAGGGTGGTCCAGTGTAACCCACACACCGGTAGTCGTGGCCTGGTGGGTACCTCCCATGAAGTGGATTGGTGGTCACGTGCTGGGCAAGGTGAATGCCAGGTGCTCGATATACGGGGTGATAGAATAAAACTGAGATCAAAGGTCATAGATAATATAGATATGATAGTGTTGTCTGTCTTACTGGTAGGTATAAATGAAGGTTAGGCATGCTTTTAACCCGCGCCCCGTAGGGGGGGGGGGCCGAAACGGCCCCCCTGTCCTTTTCGGTCGATATCTCTTAAACGGCTGGAGATATCGCCACCAAACTTTCAGGACCCCTCCGGGCATCGATTTTACACATCGTGACCAAAAATTTTTCCAGAGGCTATGATAGGTTGGCCACAAATGACGTCAGAATGACGTCATGTTCTGTCATTTTCGACCGAAAAAAGACCTTCGCGAGAAGACCTGTCAGGCCTACAGCTTTGAAGATACAGAAAAATGATCAAGACACAAAAGGTGTAGAATTGACAGGGTTACAAAACTGCTATCTCGGATTTTTGAAATTTTTGAGTTTTGACCCCCAAAAATCAAAAAATGCATTTTTTTTTATATATAAGCCGAAAAATCCAAAAAGTTTTTTGATTTTCGAAAAAAACCGGAATATATGTGATAGTACCTACCGTCTTCTATCTACATACCAAATTTCAGATCGATACCTCGTTTTTTGGCCAAGTTATAGCGAAAAAAACTGTTCAAAAATGATGACGTCAAATTTTCAAACTCAATTTTTGGCAATTCTAGACCTCGTAGAGCAAAACAAAGACCACCATTGGACTCCCCGTGACGAGCTGCATCGAATCGATACCCATTTTATGCAAAAATATCAACTTTGAAAGTTGACCTAATTTGACCTGACCTTGACCTGACCTTCACCAAAACGTGACCTAGGCTGGCCCCAAAGGCTACCTAACCCACATAATCGCATTTGTCATGTAAAATGGACCATAAAACATGTATCACACGACACTTTCATAATGTGACCCCCGGTGACCTGACCTCGCTGTGACCTGACCTGGTATCAGTGACCTCAGATAGCAAAGTATGTGTTTGACGAACAATGTACCATCGATGGTTTTCAATAAATTACCAATTTACTCGATTTCACAACACATTTCTTGAAATGCCTGTGAACGGTGAAAATCTGACCTTTGACCTGACCTGTGACGTCATCGGTTTGACCTAGGTCAATGAAATTTGGTCACAAGGTAGTTCCCGGGTGGGGCTATCGAACACCGTTTGAATTTTGAAAATCGGCCGGTAACTTTCCGAGATCTTAGGGGGGGGGCCGAAACGGCCCCCCCCCCCTACGGGTGGTAGGGTCCGCCGGTAGCCCTACGGGGCGCGGGTTAAAAGTCACGCTTCAGACGTCATTTGAATCTTAACATTGTTCGGCTATTGCACTGCAGATCATTTCCCCGCTACAAGCATGCATACGACATCCTGCCTTGCTGCTCGTCATTTGAATCAATGCACTTCAACATTCGATCTCCGTCGATTTGCACTCAGCTGTGGTCCAGCCTGGAATGTGTACCGTGAACCCGGTGATACTGCAAACCAGTCCTTTGAGGTCACTCCCCCCGCTCACCCCAGCCCCAGCCCTCTCCACGCGAGCCGTGCGGGGCTATCTGAGTACGGTCCGCGCGGTCCGGCCCCAGTCGCTGATGGAATTCAGCACCGCCCCTGCTTACTGAGGTCGGCGGTGTCAGACTGACACGGTGTCCGACACCGGTGATGACCCGATAGACGAGGTGACTCCCCTGGCCGGGTCCCGTGTCGGTCAATTAACCCCGCTACTGGTGGTGTGTCTCACAACGGCGAGCAGCACATATCACCGGCATAAAACTCACCACACACGGCTCCTGCACTTAGTTTGTTGCGCCAACTCAGAACTAAAATGCTGCAATCAGCAGACGGCGTGGTGTGAGCGGCACGCCATATTTGAAGGCACTAATGAAGTGTCCGCCTTTTTAAGGTCGTCCACCGCTCCAATTTGCAGCCGGCCCGCTGAAAATGGGCCTGACATGTGTACAAATATGCGACTATCGGGTGGCAGCAATACCGTTCAGCCATTGACACGACTTCATTGTGAGAATCTGATGAGGAAAATTGGGGCGCCCGATCCTGCTCGTCGAGCTAGACCTGTCGATTGTGACGTAAAGAAGGTCTGTCACACACTTGTTGCTTAGGTAGCACTTCTGTGGACGTTAATATGCCGGATGTGCTTATGGTGACACTCAGGTAAAGGCGTACCTACCTGGTCTGCTGGAATGGTGTCCATACAATACAACGGGTCGTAAGGCATGTATGTGCGTACTTGGGGCAGAATCAATGCATTGCTAAGACCATTCCAATTCCAACATTCCAGCAATGAATTTGCTTGTTTTGCAAGTTTAATGGCTTGTGACTGTCATACATTGGCTCAATTTTTGCTGGCATTTGAATTTTATGATTTTTTAAACGCATATTTTCATTCATATTTACGTTCATTGTCATCCAGACCTCAATGTTTGTGTGACATTGAAACGCTGTGCCAAAATATGACAATAATCATTATTCCACTTTCATGTTTTGATAGAATTGTATTAAATGTTGACAAGCCCTCGCCGAGGCAGCGTTCAAGCTGATACGATGGTCAGAACACATACAAATTGTCGCGAACGGGAAAACGACCGCAGATACGAGCCAAATAGACGAATAATTCGCATTGTTTCCTGTCGCCAGCTCGATACACCGTCCTTGTCTATGTAGGTTTGTGCCATATTTGGGCCAGTGTAGTTGTTATGTCATGTCTGGGGGGGGGGGGGGTAATTCCAACTCACGATAAGCAGCAAGCACGCTATTGTTTTTTTCCTGTTGCCCTACTCCTGTTCATAAACACGAATACGATTATTATTGTATTGGAGCTGCTCAGATGTGTGCCGTGATATTTGCTTCTGGCGTTCATTCAACCCCTTTTTGTATTCATGGCTACGCACATTGCGTGTTTTTACGACATATTTAAGTTAGACATTTTTTAAGAGCGTAAATAATAGTCATTTTATGTATTTGTATGCTGTTTTATGCTCTTGTACGATGTTTCCATCTGATATCTTGGCTCCTGCCCACAGCTGACAGACAGCCTCTCCCCGGCTTCCGGCTCCTGCGTACAGATAAAAGCCTCTCTCCGGCTCCAGCCTACAACTGACACCCTCTCTCCGGCTCCTGAGTCTCGTCTCCTGCGAACAGCCGACAGCCTCTCCCCGGCTCCTGGCTTTGGTCACTGCGTACCCCAGAGTAGAAATAACACCGGACCAGTGCCCCTGGCTGTGCCGTCCGTCCCGCTACCGGCTGTTGTGTGTTTATCCCGACGGGTCTCCCACCGGACAATCTCTGCTTATCCGTCGCTACCCTCACCTCCCCAGCAATAACAGCAGACAGCGGTGTTTACCGTGTCCACTTCCGTCAACAGAGTCGCACTCCTGACCTGGGTCCTGTGCAGCCCCAAGTCCAGCGCCTGCTGTCCTCGACTTCAGCATCCTGCGTCCGGTCCGGCCCCGGCGCAGCGCCTGCTGTCCTGGACCTCAGCATCCTGCGTCCGGTCCGGCCCCGGCGCAGCGCGTGCTGGCCTCACTGTCCCCAGCTCCCAGATCAGCGCCAGCCTCAGGCGGGGTTTTAGAGCCTGATCCAGCTCCCAATTACCAGCCTCAGTTCCCATCGGTCCCAGCAATCCCAACACTTAACCAGTGAGCAAATCCCTGACCCCGAGCCCCAATGTCAGTTCCAGCCATTCCTGGCTCCAGTAACAGACAATTACCCAGTCTCAGCACCAGGCTCCTGCCTCAGCCAGCTCCAACGCCTGAGCCGGTACCCTGCCCAGTTCCAGCCCCACTCCCATCCCTCAGCAGTGCACTGGTTATCGTTCCAGCACCAGCAGCCGCAGAAGTCTGACCCTGCCCCACCACCACCGTCACGATCCTACTCCCGCCTTCCGCACACTTCCTGCTCTCTCTCTCTAGTTCAGCTAAAATGCCGCCATCATTACCAAGGTCGTATGGAAGGGAGCCACGCCACCCACTTATCCCCCACCCCCTGCCCCTCCTCCACTCTCTCCGCCGCCCCTCTGACCGCTCGTGGCACCCCCTCTCTCTCTCTCCCTCTCTCCCTCTCTCTCTCTCTCTCTCTCTCTCCCTCTCCCTCTCCCTCTCCCTCTCCCTCTCCCTCTCCCTCTCCCTCTCCCCCTCTCTCTCTCTCTCTCTCCTCTCTCTCTCTCTCTGTCTCTCTCTGTCTCTCTCTCTCTCTCTCTCTCTCTCTCTCTCCTCTCTCTCTCTCTCTCTCTCTCTCTCTCTCTCTCTCTCTCTCTCTCTCTCTCTCTCTCTCTCTCTCTCTCTCTCTCTCTCTCTCTCCCCGCCGCCCCTCTGACCTCCCGTGGCGCCCTCTGCCCAGCAGCACAGCATTGTCGGCGCCGGTCCGCCGGCAGGGAAGGCGGTGCCGCCGGCGTCTCTGCCGACCTCTCCGCAGGCGGCGGACGCCCTGGAGCCCCCGCAGCGGCACCGGGCTCGCTCCGGCTCCGAGTCCTCCAAGTCGGCAATGCGGAGCGTCATCGACCGTCTGCGAGGCCGCTCCCAGTCGGTGGTCGAGTCGGACAAACGCAAGTTCGCGGTAAGTCCGCCGCGCGGCGCTGGCGTCGCCCTTTCTCTGGCTGTTGGGGGAGGTTGGTGGTGGGATGAAGTTTGGAAGTGGAGGGACGTGAAATATGCTTACGGACATGATGGCGTGGGACCTGGGGTTAATTGACCTTACGAATGGAAAGTATGATGATTTGAACGGGTTATCCACTTTTTTTGGGCATTCATATTGTGGCACGCGCTACCGTACCGTACTACGTTACTGCGTAACGCAGTACCTACGCACGCAAGGATACAGGACGTACAATTCCCCTTCTCAATACCTAACTCAAACCCTGATCTGGGTTGGACTTTCACCTTTATTCGAGTATAGTAGCTCCTCAGGAGCAGGCCCATCGTGCGGCGGGGTGACCGTTTGCGGGTCTGGTCGGCTTGTCCATCGTGATGGGGTCAGTCTGGGCGGTGCACCAGGGAAGCCACTCCGACCAGTCTCCTAAATCGCCATCCTCCTGTACCTGGAATGGTCTCAGACTAAAAAGGCTTCAATCCACGAAACAACAACCATTTTGTCGTAGAAAATCGATATGGCGAAAACAAGGTGGACAGTTTCAAACAAAATGCCCGTAACTTGCTCGTAGAGTCGTTCTTTTATGCTCCGACGTCATTACTTGTTTCCGCATTTATGGATTTCCAAAGGTCCTCGGTGATTTACTCCAAACAAGTCCGCAAACAAGTGTTTTCAGACTTTTATCTAACTTAGAAGTTGAAGTTAAATGAGTTTAACTGTCAGGACTGAAGGCTTTACGGTAGTTTGGCGAAGTTGTAGTTGTTTGCTTCAAACCACAAAACAGTCGTATCAGGCAATCGCCATCTGTGATAGGGGCAGAGCCATTACATGCCAAAACTGCCCGTTTGAAACATCGGTCAGTTACACATTCCACGGCCGTTGAGCTGTCCGTAAATCAGAGGATGACGTGGTGTTTTATTATCCTGTCGTTTCATTGAACTTATTAGCTGATGAATGCAACAAAAGACTATACAATACCGCCATCTTCTTTGGACGTTACCCCTCCCTCACCGTACCGTTTACCCATGCCTTTGCAAGGAGCGTGGGGTGGAAAGAAAGGGTTGTCTCCAAACGCTAGCCACTATCTTTTTGGCTCTTGGGTAGGTACTCAAGATAAAGGACAAAATTCGGATCTGGGTAGACTTGGTCACTCACCCGAGTCATTTTCCATGCCATTGGAGTCGTGGGGCATACAAGCACGGCACCCTTCTTTATACCTCTTGATGATGTAAAAGTTCCGGTTGTAAGCCGTTTCCCTCCTCACTCCTCACTTCAGCTGTCGGCTCGGCCTCGGTCTATCGTCCTCGCTGTTGGGCCGTGCGGATAGTAGTTAAACTCTGCCTTCAGATTCTCTCGACAGATGGCACTAACGTTTCCTGTGTGTTCAGCTGCTGACCGCTGCAAGTGCTGCGCAGTTCACGATCTGTGCTGCATCGTAGAGCCATCTGGTGACGAAATCAATAACTAATTACATACCTGTGACCGTGACCAAGCACCCGGCACGGCGAAAATCCGACGCAGTTCGGCGCCGACCGCCCGTCTGCTGATGTTTTTTTATTGCGAACGTCAAAGGCACTCGACACGGACAGCTATGCGTCGCAGACTGGCGACGACGGCAGTTCACATGTCGTCTATGGCGTCAAAGCCGGAGCCAGTGTAGCATGCACGGCGCTACCTTCCTCCCATTGTTTGGCATATTTTCGTTTGGCGAGGCCGTCTGTTTGGCCGCACTCTGTGACCCGACTCCTCAATCCGTGCGTTCTGGCGGAGCTGGCGTTTCCCTGAGATAGCTACTCAATGCTCCGGGGCGAGAGATGAATGGGCGGTGTCGGCTCTGGGCTGGTACGTACAGCTTGATGCTGGGTGTTGTTGCTTCGGACTTGGGGATTGGTTGTGCCGGAGGAAGATAGTGAATGCTGTGTAGGCGTTGAGGTTGCTGAACCAGCATTCCTCTTACAGTGCACAGGGTGCCAGCTTTCTCAATGCTGCCCCCTAAATTGTTTTTCCCCCAGTCTCCATAACGATGCGTGCATGTCACTTATTATCAAACTTCCGTCTAACTTGGATTCGTTAGGCTTTGTGAATGCAACATGTTCGGTAACCATATTTGCAAAATGATCCTCACAAAGAAATGTAATATGGTGCAACCCCATAATTAACCTTTCGTGTGAAGCTGAAAAAATCAGCGAATGCGCCCGTATAAAACCATTGGAATCTCTCCAGTAAAACGTCGATACAGACAGAACCTGCTTCAACCACAATGACCTCTGGCATGACACCATCTTCACGGTATCGTGACTCCCGCGTCCTACCCGGAGACCGACGGAGGCTGGCCGTATCTTTACGACCTGCCGCCCTGCGGCGCTGATACGGCCTTATGGCGGCAGATCTGACCTTCTGGCTCGTGATGCTGACCTCTGAGGGATCAGGGGGGGGGGGAGGGAGTCACAAGGCGACTATCCCAGGGGGGATGGGGGGGGGGGCAGGTCAGGATCGGTGTGGAACCTGTGAGGGCATCGTGGGATGGGGAGATTATTCTCGGAGGTTTTGTGGGTTATTCTGGCGGTGTCGCTCGAAAAAAAAAAATTATGGTGATCGGTGAGAAGTCTAAGGTTAACGTGTATTGATGAAGATGCTAAGGATTACCAGTGCCGAACAGTTGCCCCAGCCAACGTTTCAATAACATTCTATCACAGTGCCCTTGAATAGGTTACATTGACTGTCAGCCACCCTTTTATCAAAGTGCAACACATTGCTCGTTTCCCGCAACTCATGATGCCGTGACAGTTTTCGGGAAGGCTGGAGAGTACAATCACCGCTGCGATGGAGATCTCTGATCATTTCCGTGAACAAAATGCCGCGGCATCGCCAGAAAAGTGATCGGAAATCCAAGTTGTGTGTCGCGAACCGCGGTCTTCTCCGAACGGCTGCTGCTCACCGCTGCTCCTCCCATCACGCTACGCTTTTATGTTCAACGAGCGGCCGTAAATCTACCCGAGAACGGGCTAACTTTAGCCGAGCCATGAATCTGATTAGCGGGCAGGTTAAGCGACCCGTCTTGTCGTCTAGGGGTGGCACCCTGACAACTCTGGTAACTGGATATGCAATTGGAGAGAGTGCCTGCCGCGTCGGCTGTGGCCGGTCCCTCGTCAGCGACCGAGCAGAGGCCACTCAGGATGATCAGACGCTTTATCCCCGTATCAACAATTAGCGTGTCATTCCCACATGGGCTGTCACGCTTGTGGATCATACGAGTCACCACCACGGTGGAGCTGTCATTTTGAAAGTCACTAGCATCTGGTCCTCACTTTTACGCTTTGGGTCCTACCTTTGAGCTTTCACGCTGCAAATTCTACAAGTTCCCATGCTAGAAGTTTCCATGCAATTCCGTGAAGGACTTGTACAAGTCTTACGAGCTGTTACGCTATATAGTTAGGTATCAAAAGCTCCTACGCTGTCAATCCTTTGAGCTCACGCTGCCTGATGGCCACCCCACCTTGGCAATCGATTGCAGTGTTGTGTGAATGGTGCGTGTTTCCAGGCGTAGGCGTTAGGTCTCCAGGGCGCTAGACACGCGCTATTGCGTTAGCGTGGGCAAGCAGGTGCTTTAAATGACCCTGGTTGGGGTTTAGGGGCTGTGTAGGATCGACTAGCAGCAAGAAAGATCATTGTGTGGTTTGGACACTGGACAGGTCACCCAGGTGATAGGCAATGCTGCGGATTGTCGATGCTGCTTATGAAACTGAGCTACCTTGAAAATGGTCATGTTCGGATGACCTGGCCAGAACAGATTTCCTTAGGTAAAATGTCAGTAACAAGTGCGATGAGTACACAAACAGCGGAATTAGGTTACCGGATGTCGATTAGCATTTTGCTTTACGGTGTCTGATAGTCTCCCAAAACCCTCATGCTGCACTGAACACACAGCAGTGACCTGGGTTCCGGTAGACGACTGCCCGGCTCCTATCCTCCCACTGAGATCGCTGGCGCTCTGCTGGCCGTCGGTCCGACATCAGCTGCCACCAGACGACCTCAGCCGGCGGCTCTATCCCCTGCCGATCTGGACCTGTCGCTCATCCCTGACCGGACAATGTCCACGAGTGGTCTGCGCGGGCGACCCACGCCGATTGACGGCACGTTTTACGAACAAATGTAAATGTGAAATGGTCTCAAGAAGATTGCCGCATGATCAAATAGCATTGGTTACCATGTAGGCCGTTTGAACTGTTTAATACTTGCATTAGTGAAAGGAATTTGAATACTATTTGGTGATATTGTCCCGGGCATGCACTGCATCCTGCATGAATATAAACATGCGTGTAGATCTATTTCACATAGTACCTATCTTTGTTTCATGAGACAAGACAGACGGCAGTCTTTGCTTTCACGTGCCCTGATATTCTAGCTGTGGTAAATTATTTCTTCTAAGTCGCGAACTGTTTCCCTTACTTCAGAACTAATTGTGGCTTGTAAAAATATTTATTAAGAATTACAATGGTTCGGGCTGTCTCTAATGAAGACACTCCCTAGTCGGGTTGTTTTGATGTAATGGCTCTGGTGGTCATGGACAATGGACATAAAATAAAAATTATTTGCTATTTTGTTCACCTAGCTGGTCAACGACAGATGTTGCCGCCCTGAGTGTATATGACTGTTTGATTTTATTAACATGCAGCATCTTAAGCTGTGTCATGCTACCTTACTTTCCGAGAACCAATGGCGGTTTCCAATACGAACGTTTCCGTCTGGCGTCGCGTTTTGGGCAGCTCCGCCCTTCACCAAATGTCGCTACACGTAGTTGATTTTCCCTGAAATGTCAATTTATCATTTGTAGGCCGCCATTCAAGGAACGGGTACAAACATTTATTGACTCGCTCGGAATTCTGGGCTTGTACCGGAGAAGAAATGTCTCCACGTCTAGACATCTGAAGGGATCGCATTCTCGCTCCATTCGTGGTCGCGCAGTCGTGGACGTATTGAGGCGGTATGCTAGTTGACAAGCACTTCTGAGAAAGCAGC